AAATGGATTGAGGGCAGCCCTGAGAAGGACTTGTGGGTTCTGGTGGATGAAAAGCTCAACATGAGCCAGCAGTGTGCGCTTGCAGCACAGAAAGCCAACTGTGTCCTGGGCTGCAGCAAAAGAGGTGTGACCAGCAGGTTGAGGGAGGTGATCCTGCCCCTCTACTCCACTCTCATGAGACCCCCCTGGAGTAATGCATCCAGCTCTGGGGTCCTCAGTACAAGAAAGACATTGAGCTGTTGGAGTGAGTCCAGAGGAGAGCCATGAAGATGATCTGAGGGCTGGAGCACCTCTCCTATGAAGACAGGCTGAGAGAGTTGGCGTTGGGTTGTTCAGCCTGGAGAAGAGAAGACTCCAGGAAGAACTTATAGCAGCCTTCCTGTACCTAAAGGGGCCTACAAGAAAGTTGGAGAGGGTCTGTTTACAAGGGCAAGCAATGATAGGACAAGGGGTAATGGCTTTAAGCTGAAGGAAAGTAGATTTAGATTAGATATAAGGAAGAAATTCTTTACTGTGAGTGTGGTGAGCCAATGGAACAGGTTGTACAGAGAAGCTGTGGATGCCCCCTACCTGGAAGCGTTTAGGGCCAGGTTGGATGGGGCTTTGGGCAACCTGGTCTAGAGGAGGTTGTCCCTGCCCATGGCAGGGGGGGTGGAACTAGATGATCTTTAAGGTCCCTTCCAACCCATTGCATGATTCTATGATTCTGTGGAGGATGCTGTGTAGGTCAGGCCCATAGAGGCCTGGGGAAGAGCCAACCAGTTTTCTCTTCCCTCCTCTGCAGACCTTGGCTGTGCGTAAGCCTCCTCCTGGTGCTTGAGCACAAGTGCTCTTGCACTGAATCACAAAACATGAGGATGGGGTGTGAGCCCTAAACCATGGATGCACTAGTGAGCACGCTATTAAAGCCAACAGCAAATTAACATGCAAACCTGTCCACAGGAAAAGCAGAAGGAAGTGCTTCCAGGAGTCACACCTGTGCAGGTGGAAGCAGGCACAAGGAGAGGCAGTGCTACATGCTCCTAGCTATCACTAGGGAGAAGAGTAAATTTTGGCTCCCTGAGCAATGTTATTCCAATTCCAAATGGGGGAAAGAAGAGAAACACCTTTCGAAGACAGCAAATGACACAATTCCTTAGCTTTTATTCTTATTTTTATGTTAAACAGAACTTTGAAATATTCTGTGGATATATTTGTCATATTATGAGAATACAGGATGGCTTTACATAACTGCAACTTTCAAACACCCTTCTGAGAAACCTTAAAAGTTATGTACCATTAATACTCTGTCTTCTTCACTTTTCAGAAGCGTTCAGTGTAAAAAATGCTACATATTTTTTTCTGGGGAATCAAACTAACAGGATCTGTTGACAAGCCTGTTTCGCAGTGTTGCTGTCAATGGCAGTCTCTCTGCATGCTCTAGGAAGGATGTATTGCGGGAAGGCAGCTGACTGGAGAATGCTGCTTGTGCTCCTTGGCCAAGGATACATGTGTCAACATGCTCCTGTTGACACAAAGTAGGACTTCTGGAAGAGGTTCTTAAGGTTGAAGCCACTGCTAAAGTAAGATGATGAGGAATGGTTGCCCCATGGGAGGACCGCCATTACCTGAAAAGGTAATTTGTGTTTTCTTATGCATAGGTGAGATATTGAACAAGACAGACACTGAAGGTTGCCTGTGAAAAATCATTCCTTGCTGAGTAATCAGATGGCTGCTTGTTTGCAGCCTCCTAGACAACAGATGCCCTGTGTGCACGGCCTGTGAACACACAGTCTGATAGCACGCTATGTGAGCATACACAGAGTTGATACTGTGGGATGCATTTCTCTATCTGCAAACAGGATCCTGAATGACACAGACTCCCTTTCTTGAAGTTAAAGCTGGATGGAGACTTGTCCTGAAGAGCAGAGCTCATATTTTCCACAAAGAATTACTGTTATTCACAGGATCCACTTTTCTTTCAGCATTTCTGACACTGATAAAAAAAGATATATACATGTATACAGATGGAAATCTTTATAGAAGGCAATTCAGGCAATGCTTTGGAAGTCTGCTCGAATATTCTTTTAGTGACTGAAAAGCAAAAATTACTCTTTTTTTAGAAAATTGTTATGGGGGAGGAAAGGCAAGGTAGTTGGTAGGTGTATAAAATAATGTATAGGAAAGGATGATGTTTGTGACAAACAGTCTCATCACCCAAATCAGTTCTCCCTGTCACACACGTACTGAGTCAATGAACCTTGCCTTAGAGAAGACAGGACATCTGACTTTTTACAAGCAATTAATTATTTTTCCAATGTGGAAAAAGATGCAAAATGTTCCATTTTTCTTTGGTACAAGATGCTTTCTTCCATCTTTTCTGAGTAAGTGTGGTTTGATGCTTTTCTCTCGACAACCTTCATTCTGTTTTCTCTCCTAGAGGTTGGTCAAGCTGCCAAGAGAGGGCAGCAACCAAGCGCAGAAACAGCATGCCAGGCCCTATAATAGGTCACATGGGAATTTAATTTAAGGGTTCATTAGCACAGAAGCTCTGTGTCTTACTATAATTACTGCTCAATGCCCTTAGCTCACTGTCAAATCATTCTTACTGCAAAAGCAAACCTCTGAATTGTTCTCTTTTTGTTGTGTTTTCTTTCAAAAAAAAAAAAAAAAAAAGGAAATAAGCCCAAACTTCTGCTGAATTATTTGAAAATAAGTTCTGTGCCATGGGAGCATGGCCAGACGAACACCAGGGGCTGCTCTGGGGATGCTGTGTAGAAGGCATAGCTCTAACACCTCCCTTTTCACAACTTTTCGGGGGAATAAACGTGTGTAAAAACAAATGTACAGCTATATTTTACCTTTATTTCCATGTGTAAGACATTTTCATTGTTCATGCTGTCACCTTCCTACTGCAGGCTGTGTTACCAATAATACACTGCTCTGGTCCCTAATGGGCAGCATTTTCTCTCAAATCCACCATTTCTGTAAGATCCAGAGCCACCTCCTTCGTGCATAAGTCTGCATGATCAGTTCACCACGTATCAAAGAATCACGGAATGGTTTGGGTGTGAAGGGACCTTAAAGATTACCTAGTTCCAACCCCCCTGCCATGGGCAGGAACACTCTTCCTCTAGACCAGGCTGCTGAAACCCACATCCAACTCGACCATACATCCTTAAAGACATGCTGATTCCAATATTTATTGACTTGATCGAAGCTGAACCTGCTTTAGAAAAAAAAAAAGGTAACTTGTTTGGTTTTAACACAGTTAATTATTTTTACCCCAAAAGGAGCTGCAGTGTCTTGGCCCCAGCTTCTGGAGGCAGTTGTTTCTCCTGCCCATATTTTTGAGATTGCAACATTAAACACTATGTTCACGTTGGCCTTTCACTTAATGAGGAAAATGCCATGGGCTGGTGGAAAATGGATGTAGACAGAGAAAGGGTCCATCTGGGCTTTGTGTTACTGCAGGACAGAAGTGCTGTTGCTGGCTGGGGCTCTGCTCTTCCCATGTCAAACACGCATGCTGGCTCTTTACCCCGTTGTTGGAAAACACCTGAAGCTCTTCTGATAAAATGAAACTAATATTTAAGGACAGAAACACACTGTGCGTAGCCAGACGGGGCTGTAACAGTGGGAGAGCACGAAGCGCTGGATGACTCCTGCCGCCTGTGCTATACTTAGACTTGAACAGACTAATGCTGGCTTAACCTTGTATATAAAAAAAGGAAAAGCTGTGGGTCAGACAGCTGACCTAGTGAGACCTAGTTGTGGGACACCCTGATGGGCTTCTCGGGGCAGGAGGAGCTGAGAGAGCACCAAGCCCACAGGGAAGGTGTTCTGCCAGTGTCAGACACAGATTGCCTCATGTCAGGAACCTCTCTGGCTGGCGAAGGGGAAATACTTACGGTCCCATGGGTGATCGTGCCATTTCTCCTCAGGCTCTGAAACAGTGTTTTAGAGGGAAGGAGATTAAATGAGAGGAGGGGAAGCCCAAGGAATGGGAGTGGTGGGGCTATGCCAGGCAGACATGGCTCTCTGTGCAGGTACCACTGCCTTACTGTCCGAACGTGGTCCTGCCCTGGATGTCCTCCGGACCTGGGCGAGGGCACTGGAGCATGGATTAATTTAAAGGCCAATTCCATTGCCTAATTTCACTGAAGGGTGTGAGCCTTGGCTGCACTTTCATGCTACAGCTAAATCAGTTTGGCAGCTGCTGAAAGCGGCAGGACCCCTCCTGCCCCACTCTCCCCTCGTAGGGTTTGCTGAGGTCTGTGAGCAGCATTGGGAGAATTAAAAACCCCAGCTCCTCCAACTTCTTTGCACAAAGGGAGGATGTGCCTGTAAGTTCAACTCAAGCTGTGCAGATGACGATTAAAGAAATAAACAGGAATGAGACAGTGAAAGGCTGCCCATTCAGTTTTCTGCAGGTGCTGTGCCTTCTATCCCCTCCCCAGAACTGATGCACTAGCTCCATAGGGATGCCAGCAGCTGAGTAGCCCCTGTGTCCAAGTCTCACTGATTTCAGCTGGGGTGAGAGCGCAGATCACACAGAGGATGGATGAGCTTCCACTCTGCCATCCTTATGCTGACATCTTCAGCAGAGCACCTCCCTTTGCAGTATAGGAACCACAACGTGAGCTGGACCCCCCTGGATGGACCCCCACATTGGCAGTGGGTGGTGGGTCTCCACGGGAAGTGCCTGGCCTGCTTGCAGGCTGGAGAGTGCTCACCATCGAGTTCATGAGAGAAAAGGGCTGGGAACTATTGTACTTTAATATCAGCTTTTCTCTCAGCATTTCTGCCTTCTTTCATTAGCGCAAGCAATGGCTTCCTCCAGTCAAACAAGTTTGATTTAAAAAAAGGCAAGGAATTCTTTTTTTACATTGGTCTAACATTCAGTAGTTCTTTTGGTTTTGTTTTTCTCTGACTTTTTTTTTTTTTTCTAAAAAAAAAGAATGGAGAAAGCAGACATTAGTCACACCAACAAATCATTTGGGATGTGTGTGTTTGTTATAATGGGCAGTACTAAGTCCAGACAAACCACTCTCGGCACAGAGCGGCAAAAGACTAACAGCTTGAGTACAGGTCTAAGAGTCTCCCAGCCAATTAACGAACTGTGCAGCCTCTCTGTTGAAATCAGAGAGCCCACAAGCAGGGCTGCAGGAGTTTTCACTAGTAATGAGACTGCTGAGGCTGTTTTCTGTAATTTTGTGTTTCTGCACGTGGGCATTGATGCAGCTGAAGCCATCCAGAACCTGCAGCAGAATATGTTTTGTGTTAAATCTACAATAATCTTTGCAGAAATGCCTTGTCTTGAAAAACTTAAGTGATGCTGTGAATGGCTTAGCATGGACTCTTACGCTACTGACAAAATTTTCTGATCTTGGTCTGTATTTCAGTCTTTCGCCCCCCTTGTCGATGCTCTTAACAGCATGAATTACAACTCTGCGATACCCGTGAGGCCACTGAGTAACACACTGACCCAGGAGAAGGCTTTTCTTTTGTTTTGTTTTGTGTTTTGTTTTGTTTTGTTTTGCAAGTTGTTAGTGCACTGTAAGGGGATAGTCCTGGCTTTGCAAAACAAGTGGAGAAAATGTTCCAGGAGTCTATATACAGGCAACAATGAGAGATATGGAGGGAGGAAAGGATGAAACAGAAACTAGAGCACTTGTCATGGTGAAAAGCTGTGAAAACAGACCATGTTTAGAGTAAAGCGGAAGTGATATTCCTTGCTTTTATTTTATAAAGGAAGGGAAACTCTTCTTTTGACAAAACTAATGGTAAAGTTTTCTACCAAGGCATGTTAATGAAGTACTGCTGAATGCATGCTGTATATGAAGGCATGCCTATTACTGTGTCTACTTAGAGGCACAAGATGCTGCCAAACCAAAACCCTAGCTATGTTTGGATTTATGTTGTGAGCTCTGCCAGACATGTATTGTTTTCCATTAACAATGTACAGCTTTTCACATCTTGTAGCTGATACTGAAAAACATTAATAAAAGAAGAATACTGGTCATCACAATGAAATCAACGCATGATGAAAGGCACTCTATGAAATACACTGCCACTTGAAGAAATGGGCATTTCAACAATATTTTATTTTTGTTACATTTGGGATTTTTTTCCATATAGAAAGCATTTTCTGATGTGTTTTGTTTTTTCAAGAAACATTTTCTTGGCTCATTCTGACTGAACTTTGTTTGGCACATTCTTTAAGGGAAAACATTAGACAATTACATTGGAGAGGATAGTATGGGAGACTGTGTTTGTCTTCAAGGCAAGTGTTCTGAGCTGAGGTTGGAAAAGGAAAGCCACGAAAAGGGCACCGGTTTGAATTACTTGTATTTTGCGCACTTCACATATCCCAGTTCTTAAGCATATTTGAACAGATTTAAGTCGAATCTTCAGTGTTCTTTCTTCCTCCTGTACTTGATAGGGCTGCTAGCTGTGATTCAGTAAGTCAGCTTGCATTAGCTTTCACTACAGTTTTGTACTGCTGATGTGGAATGTAATTACTAGAATAGCATTGGAAATCTTTGTTTTATCTGGTGGAAATTAAATTAAAAAAATGATGATTTATTATTTTCTGAATGACTGATCTCTGTCTATTCCAAATGGAAGGACAGTCAGCTCTAAGCAAAACAAATTGCTCCTTGCTAAAGACAAAAGGCAGCAAGAAGGGCTTTGGTGTCTGGATCAGCATCAATGCCATGCTTGTGGGAGGTAGCTGACAAGATAGCTGTGCCACTGCTTGCGTGCAGCGTGATTTTGGACACCATGTTTTGTGTTCTGCCTCTGTTCCCTGCTTTGCAAATAAGGAGAATAAAGTTATGTATCTCTGTCTCAAAAATTTAGGGTGAGAATCAGTCATGGACACACCACGTGCTTCATCCATGGCACAGGCTGTAACCTTGTGCCACAGGAAAGCAGATTTGTGGAGCCAGGGGGCTGCTGGGTGACCACAGCCCTTGCAAAGTGCCCTCGGCGCAGGTCATCACGGTGCCTGGGATGGCAGAAAGTCCTGAGCAGGGTAGGGGCTTTCCCAGTTAATCTCTCCCGGTGTCCTTGATGCTGCGAGTGATGCCCATCGACAACAGGCAGCTGCCTGCAGGCAGAGGGGTGCTTCTCACTCCAGCATTGGGGACTCGGTCACTATCATTGCCTCTGCTCCCCTCTGCCCCCCTTGCCATGGCGAAGTGGCCGGAGCCACCTGAATTCCTCAAGGAGAGCCACAAGCACCATGAGCATTGGTGCCATGTGGGATTGTCCCAGTGCCCTATGGCAGGGGAAGAGGGTTTCACCTGTGGGAGGCTTTCTGAGTTCTCCTACCAGTGTGTGAGCAGACTGCTGGGTGAACAATACTGCACTACAAACCAAATATATGGAATTACGTCTGAAGCTGAATTACTACTTTCCAAGAGAAGCTAGAGCACTGTTGCCATGACTATCATGTTTGCAAGGGAGACACCAGCCTGCATCTCGGAGCACTCTGCAGCTGGCAGGCTCTGTGCTGTCTCTTCCCCCTGGAGGTCCCAAATGTCACCCTGACACCACCTGTCCCCTTGGTACGCTCTGTCCTGACAGAAGTGAACAAAGGGTCAGAAACGGGGAGAGATGTCTCTGTGTATCGTGCTGGACTTGGGTGAAAGGCTCCTGGCCCTGGGCAGGGGGGGCTGCAGTGGCTCAACAACAGTGTCTGAAGCGGGCGCCTTATTAATGGCTGGAAATCAGGCGTGCCCAAACAGAGGGGGAGTGGTGAGGCTGAGGGCTGGGACAGCAAGGCAACACATTGGAAAAACACTCGCTGGCATCAGTCTCATCCCCCTCTGTCTGTCCACATCAGGTTAAGTGCTTGGAGATCTCTCCGTGCTTTGCTATGTTCAGCTGTTAAACAAGAACAGAGATCCTTATGTTGCAGAAGGCTACATATATTTTATTTACAAATTCTCGCGATAGAAGGCACTGCACAATAGGAAGTAGAGCTGACAGACTTTATATGCCTAATGGTGTATTTGGCTTTCTCTGTAATAGGTTATTAGTATTTTAAATTTTCATTTGCTCTGCTTGAAGACTTATAAAGACTTCTGCAAAAAATGCTGAGACCTATTAAGTGGAATAAGCCATTTTCTGTTTTGGGGGTTGGGAATTTTTTTTCTCTTTTTCTCTTAAAACTACAATCCTATTGCAAAATTTCTGGCACTTGTCTCAGATGTTTTGCAATGAACTTGGCCTGTGGAAAAGGTGAAGTCTTATGGCTGTCACCTCGCCCTGCACTGCATTCATCCCTTAGAGGAAGGGCAGGGTAAAAGCAGCAGCTCTTCTCAGAAAACCATCAATCTTATTTGGCATAAGCACTAGAAGGGTAAAAAAACCCCCAAACCCAAAACTCAGATAAGGCAGCTTTTTCTCAGATTTCAGTGCTGGGGATGGTTTGCCTGTGTTCGCTGGCTGACAGCCAGAGTTGGGGGTACCCAAGGAAAGGACAGTGCCTGAGTACCCAAGGTTCTAGTGGCATAAATCCAAGAGATTTATAAACCTTGAATAAGCTAAGGCAATCTGTGGAGAACAGTTTTAATAAGCTTGGTGTAGTTAGCATTAAAAACTAAGCAAACAGCTCCAATCTGCTCTGACTCTTCTGAGGTGTGCTTACGAGAAGCCCTAGAAAAGGGTATTTTAGTAATCCAGCTTGCAGAAGAAAATGGAGTAGACGCTTGTATACTGTGGCAGTGGAACAGGTAGCCCAGATGAGGAGGGAACTGGTTACATGGGCATCTGTTGCAGACTTGCTCAGAAATGCAGCACCTGTTAAAGGCAGGTGCTCCAGAGCTTGTGGGGTTTCCTCAGGCAGGTTGGGTGTCTGGAGAACAGCTCTGCAAGAAGAGCCACTAGCCATCTTTCTTATCAGAAAACCAGCAGGCAGACAGGCAGAGACACCCCTGCACAAGGGAACTGAGCAACTCAGTAGCTGAGCCTTATGTCATTAAAAAAAGACCCCCAAACCTCTACGTCCTAACCTAGAAATAAGCCAGGCTTGGAAATAGTTTTCCTTTTAGTCCATGCCCTCTGTTTCTTCAGGGTCAAGCTAGAGTCAGAAATCAGAGGCAGATTAATGGAAGAATCCCTAGCCACGATTTAATGGGAAGCTACTCCCAGAGATCTTTTTGCTAAGACGTCATACACTTGCCTCTGACCAGCTGCTTATGGAAATGGTTAGAAGGCAGAAAATGTGAGCAGAACTCTCCAAAGCACATATGTGAGTGACGGTGTGCGCACGTGTATGCACACACACACACACGCACGTGGCCAGAAACCACTGGAACTGGGATTCTTGGCTACAGACAGGTTTCTGGATATATATGGCAATGTAAAAAGTCACAGCTAGTCTGAACTACGCGATGCCTCTGCAGACTTCCAATGACAGTTACAGCTGCAGATGACTAAAACGTAGGGACAGTTATAGCACTTGCATCTGAAGCCAAGGACTGAAATATTACCAGCGTGCTCCCAGCCA